TCCCCACTCACCATCGAACTGAAATCAGTATAAATGGTGTCAGCACTTTACAGCCCATGGCCAACTTTCTTTATTTTTAATGTAGCACAAAAGTGTATAATAGCAAGGAAAAGACATTTTTTAATTCCAGTTATTCTTATTGTCTAAAATGAAAGCAGCAGTGTTTTGATAAAGATGAAAAAGAAAAGCTACTAAATTAGTAAATCAGTGTTTATGGGTCCTGCAAAATTTCTTAATAGATGGTGCTGGGTGCACGAATTACAAACTTTCTAACAGAGGTTCACAAGGCATCTTCTAAATTTTGCTTTGTACAATTATTTCATTTCTGACGTTAATCAAATCGAGTGTATATATCCTACTCCCTTTACTGCCTCTTTCCCCCCTACTGTGGCTTGTAGATTTTCAAAAGATATAAGTTCTAGGCAAAACTGTAACAGTTACATTAATAGTTATGATAGTTGTATCTAAAATCAGAATATTTTGTTCCCTTCCTCCTGGACCTCTCTCCCCCTAGCCCTTTTCCAGCTGTTGGGGATTTGTAGATATCACTCCTGGGGTGCCCTGTGGCACACTGGCTGCTCCCCAGGGACCCAGGAATGCTGAATTTAGCCATTAGGGAAATTGATTTGAGATGTTTGCATGTGAAGCTTCCCTAAGCTGCACTGCCAAAGCTTTGGAATTGTCACCCAAGGCTTCCTAGACTCCCTAGCTAGCTCGAGTTCAAATTGCCAATAGTCCCTTTGGTGCCAAATTTTGGGATGGTATTACAGTCTTTTAGAAGTTAAGATGGGAATGAACATGTGCTTATGGGACCCCAGCAGAATGCCAAGCCCAGGTCTCCACTAATGCAGTGCTCTGCTGCAGCTCCACTGGCAATTTGTACTCTTAACATGGGTTGTGGGAGGGGCAGCTAGGGAAAAAATTTTTTAATTAATTGTATTTGCAATTCTTTCATCATAGGAATAAACAATACTTACATAGAAAGCTCCAAAACTGTACCCAAGATCTGCATTTATTTTATATGACCAACTTGCCCCAAGGCAATTAGCTTTGAATCGCTGTTATATTGTGACATATCTGTGTGCATATATGTACATATTACTGGTAACCAGTGGCTGCATTTTATTCCCTGCTGTGGATTGAGGTATTGCCTTCTTGAATCTTGTATGTGTCATAAGAGTATTACACAGAGAGTGTTATAGTGAAGGATGCAAGCTGAATAATTTAGAACAGGCCTTATTTCATACAAGTGTAATTATTACATCATTTTGGGTAAATGGTAAACACGATTGCATGAGAGTGATGGCATCATCATTTCAATCTAATCGGAAATGATTCTAGGAAATTGATTCTACTATTGGATTCTAGGAACTTGATTCCTAGAATTTTTCCTTTGCCAGATGTATCTTGATTTTCCTGATTTTTTTTTTCTCTAAGGTTGTTGCCAGATCTCTCTTGGAACTGTGTCAATGAAAGGTCTGTGTTTTAAAAAGGCACCATATCATTGCATATTTGAAAGTATAGGAATATATACTTTGTATAAAACTTTTCCAATGATTTCAAAAATTCTTTTTTCCTCCTTTTGACCCACCACTGGACTGTTCATCCCTTAATTGTCCCTCAAAATTGCCTTAGCATGTCACACCAGCATTCGTCATCCAGCTCTGGAGAAATGACATGACTGTTAGATACCACACCTGTTTAATCGCCTCTGGACTAAATCATTGATACCTAGACTTTTGAGCTAGTTAGCTGTAGAAATAATAGAATCCAGTGTTTCCCAAAGTGTGTTCCAAAGAATACAAGTTCCAAAGATACTCTTCTAAATATAGGGTTCCAGGATCAAATAAGTTTGGAGAACACATACCATCTTAGAAAGTTAGTGAACATGAGCTCATCAAAGGCTCTAATTTAATGTCTTGCAGGGCAGAGAAAAACACAACAAATATCTACTGTCAGCCCAGTGTTTTCCAGATTAATTTGACCACAGAAACTTTTTTGAGTAACACCTAGTAACACTGCAAGGAACTGTGTTCTAAAGAACACCCTTTGGGAAATTCTGATATGTTGAAATATTGCTGTGTTTTCATTCACCATGACTCATAGTAGAAGCAGCACAATTTGCAACTTAGATGCATGAGGCTTTCATATAAAAAGCTGACTTGTTAATAAAAGCAATGTTAAGAAATAGTGTGATTTAATGTGACCAACAGCAGCCTCATATTGATAGCAGAACAATCCTACTTAAAGCTCTAAACATCGTCTCTTTCTTTTATGTGAATAACGAGCAAGAGCCCTGTCATAACTGGATAAGTCTCAGATTGATTCCAAGATCTTTCCATTGCTTTTTTGCAGTTACCTTTGCTTTTCAGATTGAATCAAAACGACTATTTTTCTGTTTCATCACTATGTGATATTTAAAAATATATAAAAAATAACAAAAGGAAAAACAAATATGATTTTAAGTCACTTTTGAAATTTTAACTCAATTTTTCAAATGATCTGTTGTACAGTAATCGAAATGTAAACTATTAACACTTACTTTCTTTCCTCTATTGTCCTCTCCAAATTCAGTGAAATAATTTGAAACCACTTAGAGCTCATACCTTCTAAAACTCGTGTCCCCTATCATCCTACCTTTCATATTTTCTGTCCATAGTTAAGTTTGGCAAGTTATCTTTCCTGTAGTTCCATAGTAGTTACTCTTGGCAGAAACAGGTTTGGGAAGCTATGAGAGATTACTCCAAAGTAATGGATGAAACAAATCTAGTCAAAAACATGGTACAAAGTGAATTAAGACTAAAGTCAATAACTTAAAATTACATCTAATATTTAGGAATAGCTCACCCTCTGCACATTATCTAAAACATTAAAAAAATTAAAAGTAAGATCTCTTAGGCTATGTGGCAGATTGCAGAGGGCAAGGGGCAGTTGATACCATGAGACTTTCATTAGATGTGTTTCTAAACATTTTTTTCTAATATGTAAATTTGTTTGCTGATCCTTCGTAATGTTAATGCTGCGCCTATTTGTTAGTTGTACCACTGTTAAGCAGCAAACTGTAGAAGCTAGTGTTGATTATTGATAATTTTTATATGTTTAGTAATAACCACAGTATCATATGTACAGTTGCTTTAATAAATCCAAGTTAAGGACTTTGAGGAGAGCAGATAGTAACTATTCATTTTAACAAATCATCACAGACAGTTTCACTGTTCAAAGCTCTACCAGAAAGTAAGCATGCAGCAAAGGTATAGATTATATTTAGAGATGTGGTTTCATTTATTCTAGAAGTCCTATAACCTGCCATTATTTAACCACAGAATCACACCTAACATTTTCCAAATCCAAATTAACCTCAAAAACCTCCAAGGACATTGAGCACAAGTAGATTGCAGTGAAAGCATGGGTAGCAGACTGTGGTGGACAGAGGGTTGACTGACCCAGAACAAAACCTGCCTGGGTACATTGCTGCCACTTCAGGAGAGGGACTGTGTCAGCTACACATTCTCTCATCACCTTTTGTCATGAGGCAGTTCATAAGTTAAATACAATACCATGCATTATCTCAAAATATTTCTATATTAATTAGGTAATTCATGAAAGGTGGATATAATAGTAAGGTATCAGGGGAAAACCCCTTTAGGAAACCCAGACATTAAAAATGTAAAAAGTAGCTTATAAGAAATGTGGATTATCAGATTTTTACCATATAGGTCGTGTTTACTAGAAATTTCTGACACCTGTACAAAAATCAGGTGAAGGATGTTATTACCACTTTTCATCATTCAAAAAACAGGCTTCCCTCTTAGAGTATTAGTTAATGCTTTGCTTATTTGTTAATTAAGACAGTATTTTAATTTTAAAGCTTCCTTTTGTAGGACTGATTAAACAGGCAGAATCACATATTTTTTAAAAAAATGATTTGGAGCCGGGTGCGGTGGCTCAAGCCTGTAATCCTAGCACTTTGGGAGGCCGAGGCAGGTGGATCACGAGGTCAAGAGATCGAGACCATCCTGGTCAACATGGTGAAACCCCGTCTCTACTAAAAATACAAAAATTAGCTGGGCATGGTGGCGCGTGCCTGTAATCCCAGCTACTCAGGAGGCTGAGGCAGGAGAATTGCCTGAACCCAGGAGGCGGAGGTTGCGGTGAGCCGAGATCATGCCATTGCACTCTAGCCTGGGTAACATGTGTGAAACTACGTCTAAAAAAAAAAAAAAAAAAATGATTTGGAACACTTTTTAATAAAAAACTGTAAAATCAGTTCCCAGTGCAGTCAAAATTAGAATGTAAAGGAAAGCATTTTTAAGAAAATACAGAAGCCCAAATCAAGGGAGAATAATATAAAAGAAAATATTTTAAATTAGGAAAAGGATGTGTTATTGTTTATTACATCAGGAATTATGCTTTCTGTACTTAATGCTCTTAGTGAAGTTAGGGAGATAACACTGAAGTGAGAAAATGAACATTCTCAGTTACTTGTGTAGTAAAATTGCTGTCCCTATTCCATTTTTTTCTGATGAAGATGGATAAATGAGGTCTCATCTATTGCTGTCCTAAACACTTTTACTGTCCTAGGTTTCGTTCACATTCCAAATCATGGACATGACTTTATCCTTAATCCTTAGAACTTTTGCAGAGGAAATACCCCTTTATAAAATTTTGATAGATACTAAGATCAACTAAATGGTTCCCCTTCCATTTTAAAGTGCACAAATAAAACTGAAATCAGATAAACACAGTCATAGCTACAACTGAGAGTGAGTTTTAACATACTAGTAATTTTGCAAATTCCAACATGAAATACTAGTGAGTACTCAATTTACAACAGACAATTTCACAAAAACAAACCACAGAGTGATTTGATATTCTTGCTTCTTAAGAGAGTTTTTAAATCCATATAATGCAATAGGTCAGGTTGCTCATATAATTTTTAAAAATAATCCTGTAGAAATGATGTATTAGACATCTCTAACCCAAGAAAATGATGTTTTTTGTATAAGTTTTAAATTCCCGTTTGTCTTAATATATCTTAGGACAAATGGTGACTTCTTCGTGTAATAATGAAAAGGTATAAATCCTGCTGCGTGGGGAAAAGCTAGAACCATGGGTCATTAAGCAAGAATACTGCTCTTATTTAGGCTCCTAGACTGCAACTAAACAGTCTTTATGTATTTATCGTTTTGATTATTGTTTTATCTCAAGCATATACAGTGTGCAGAAAGTAGAATAATGAATAAAATATGACCATGGAGAAAACCCATAACTTTTGCTTCTATTCTAGAAAGCAGTGTTTGTTCTTTTTAATTTATCTGAAATACATGTTCACATTGAAACATTAACATCTACAGTATTGTCTTTCAGTTTACTCTTCAATTATTAAAGCAAATGATTTTGATTTATAGCACTTACACAACTGCAATTCAGGTCATAGAATTGAAATATATTTGATAATGTCTCAGCATTCTCATGGGCAGCCTAGAAAAAGGAGAGAAAAAAAAAGAGAGAGAGAGACAAGAGAAACAAATAGAAATTTTAGTGGGTTCAAATGAATGATTATTCTGGCAATCCTGGAAAATAGTGAACAGTTCATTCCAAAAGACCCCATTGTGAACTCTGCTCACATATATATTTGTGTAAGGAAAATGTGTGAGATTTTTCTTAAAAAATAAAAGCATCATTGCATTTATAACAGATTGATCAATCTTATGAACAGATTACATTGGGAAAGTCACTATTATTGCTATAAGTAAGTGTGCTTGTATATTTTATTCTTTCCTTTCTTAATTTCTTTGTGTGTGAGAGCATCTGCTATGTGCCAGGCAATGGCTGTGTCTGATTGAATGTATCCGTTGGTGAGCACTCAGGTGCAATCACTGCCCTTTTGGGGCTTACAGCCTAGTGGGGATATTATAACAGAGATATTATAACACTCCATATTGACTAAATGGGATGAAAATTGTTATCTTTCATGATTTGTTTCAATGGGCTTACATTTGTTTGGACAGGGCAGAATTAGAATAATTATTTCTTACATATAATAGTAGGTGATAAGAGATTGGGAGTTTCTTGCCCACACTGAAGCAAACTTCAGTAGATAATTACTCCATTTTACTAGCTCACCTAGTTTCTCAAGGATGGCATGGGAAGTGAGACATGGAGCCTCTGGGGACCAAGACGGGGGTAGTACTGTCCCAGTGGAGGGTGAAAGCCAGGTTGTCTCTCCCTTCAGGATCTTTCTGGGGGGAAGAAGAGAATTATAGAAAAGGAGAAATGGGAAGAGCAAAAACATCTCTCAATGTCCTATTTTTATTTTTGTTCACAACAGACTATATAGTGTAACAACCTTATGCCCCCAAAGACAGGCCAGGACTGAGAGTATCTTCAGTGTTCCTGAGTGTATAAATCAGTGAATTTGCTATATAGAAAGTTGGCATTTCAGGAGCACGATTATTTCCTGATTTCAAATATGAACAGAAAACTAAATGTCAGATTTTTTAAATCATAAATTTGGTATCCATAGTTACTTTACATATTCCAGAGTCTAATCATGGAATTTAAGTTTTTTATTTTGAACAAAAATAGCAACATCTGTTTTCTGTATGGCAAAGAAAAACTAAATCCCAGACTTTTATTTTTAACCACAGAAGCTGTCTCTTCTTTCTAAATTATTTGCCTGCCTGCTTATTTCCCCTACACATCTCTTTCTGTTTATACCAACGGCTTTTTTTAATCCAAATTAATACTAGCTATTGCCAAATTGCCTTAGAATCCTATTGAATTAGAATAATTCATATATTTCATATACTAGAGAGTAAATGCTTAGTGATGGTAAAGATCTCATTGTGATCAGAAGTAGGGTTTTTATTCTTTTGTTTTCAATCATGAGAACATATAAAAGGAAATTCAAATGAAACAAAGCCAGTTTCTGATTTAGTAACATTAAAACCGTAGGAGGAGCTCAGTTATTAAGGATAGAAAGGAGGAAAGGACAGGGTGGGGAAAGAGAAAGGGGAAGGAAAAAAAACAGTAGTGTTTTTTGGGGGAACAGTATAATATCTCAGAAGTTCTTATCTCTTATCCTGCTGATGTTGAGACAGTGGCTTTGTATAAGCTTTTATTTATACCTATTTCAACATCATAAAAATTTTTCTGTCAGCATTTTCTTGCAACTTCAAAAATCACAAGGGATTGTTTATAAAAAGATACAGGATCTATGATTTATTAGCAATTTTTCTTTTAGGAATCTTCAAATTGTATTTAATAAATAAATCACAGGTCAAAATGACTGTCAAATCAATTGGGCTTTCTGGTAAGTTATTTCCTGACAACTATCCATGAAAAATACAACAAGCCTTGGCAAAACCTCATTACTCCTGGAAGTTTTCAGAGGTTATTATACCTACTGTTCTATATTTGTCTCTAAGAGACATTTGAAACAGTTACAATGTCAATTTGGTGTAGCATTACCTGTAGTAGAGCTCAGAGTATGTGGCAGTGCACGGTCACTCAAGATGCATGGCGTGTCATTTGGGTTGCTTTGATGGGTGTTGGGGTAGAATTAGCCTTGTAGAGACTAATGTGTTCATGCTCTCTCTGATCCTGTGTCATTGTATAAAAATGAACAGCTAAAAATTTACTCATGGTGACAAGATTTAAAGCAAAAATAAACCCATAAAATTGTTAGACTTTAAACATGAGACTGCTGCTATTCTTTTCTTTAAGTTAAACTCATTTTCCATCCTAATTTCTGTTCTTGAATTTTATAATTTATCTATGCTTTTGAGTTGGAGTAACTTGAGTTGGGGTTCTATGTGGAAAGCAAAGAAACAAGTCATGGGTAGAGCATAAGACCAAAGCATAATAGAAGCAAGAGGCAGGAGGTATTGAGACTCTGGTGTTTTCATTTGGAAGGGGAATAAGCCTGGCTCTGGTTCAGAACAAGGCAATTGATAAACATGTATACAATGTATATAACAAAAAATGTTTATTGTAAACCTAACACAACTTATACCCACCTTTATAGTAACACATCGACAAAGTTGATATAGTAATTACTATCAGGTAACAAGGGTTAGATTAGCTATACATAGATGTAGACTCCAGCAACAAAGCATGACACACCTTGGAGAAAAGTGTTCAGAACAGAAGATCCATCTGCAAAGGTTTTCACAAGATGGAGGAAGAAATACGGTAGGGAGACAGAATGAAAGAGAGGAAAACTCTCTCCAGGATTCTATGATCTGAAGAGGGGTTTGGACTCATAGCTTGGGCCATATTGTAGTGGTGACTTGCACTAACTATGTAGATGGAGTTTGTAGATTAGACAATTCTCAGAATTTTCTAGAAAAGGTTGGGGCTAGACATAGTGGCTCTTGCCAGTAATACTTACATTTTGGGAGGCCAAGGTAGGAGGACCACCTGAGCTCAGGAGTTTGAGACCAGCCTGGTCAATATAGTGGACTCAGTCTCTTAAAAAGAATAAAATCTCCTTAAAAAAAAAAAAAGGAAAGAAAAGGAGATTGTTAAGCAGGCAAAACAATTGCCTACTCTGCTTTCAAATTTAAGTCTGAGAAATATAAAAGCTCATCTCTACATATAAAATGCTTTTTAAAAAAATTACCTTGTTTATATGCTAAGGTTCACTAGAGGAGAAAACATCAATGTGCAAGTTTTTAAAGGTACATATAAAAAGGGATTCAATTCAAAAGTAAAGTTAAATTTCTCTCCCAATACTACCATTCATTGAGCTATGAGATAGAGTTGACTATCACTTGATTTCTGAACACCAAAATAACCTCTACTTACAGCTTTTCAACAGCTCTTCTCCTTACACCATGAAAAACTTTTAAAAATAATCACAGCAGCCTGGAGAGATGGAAGAACTGCAGGATCTGTGTCCCGAGAAACAGTCATTTCAATGTGAATTTACCAGAAGTCAGAAATTTTCCACCTTTTCATTTGTGAAGAGGGCAGAGTGAATGTTAACATCAGGCACGGAACCTACTTTGTGCCAGGTTCATGAAGTAAACCTTTCCTAATGCTATTCAATGAGTGAGCAGTAAAAGGCAAGCAAATGTGACCCTGTCCGCTCTTTTTCATCCAAATAGGAAGACCTGGCTCCACACAGTGTTGGCTTGATTAGTGAGAGATGTACAGACTCTTCAGGTTTGTAACTACATTGCCATGCCCCTTTCTGTGTTCCCAGCAGATGGGAACTCAGACTCTGCTGCCTGAAAATGGAAGGCAACCACTTACTGAGGAGCAAGGAAGAAAAGGCATTTTTTATTTCCTCTACCCCCAATCCATCAGTGTGGGCTGCTCACTCAGGCTGGGCTCCATTCTCCAGCAAGATGCATCCCAGAACATGGAGCTCCCATGTCACAGACCAGCTGCTTTCTGTCTGCCCCATAAGAAATTGGGTTTGACTTATCTCTTCACATCAGCCCCACTCATCACTGGCCTAGACTCTCAGGGAGAGAAAAACTGTTTCTTATGTTCCTACAATTTGGATGCCCTCCACTGTAACACACAACACATAGCGGTTAACTTACATATGCAGGGGGAAGAAGTCTGTGGTCACAGGGTTGGTTCAGTGATTCAATGATATCATCAAGAGCCAGCCTTTCTACCTCAGCCACTGACTTGGCCTTCAGGCTGTTCTCATGGGATCCACATGGTTGCTTCAGATACTAGCATTGCAGACATAACATCTGGCCAAAGAAAAGGAGACTCTCCTTTGTCTTTTTTTTATTAGGTACATCCACAGAAGCCTCTCAGCAGATATCACCTGGGGTCCCACTGGCTGGGATTGGTTCACATGCCAAAGCATGAGGAGCAAGAAGGGCTAGTAAAGACAGCGGTAGCAGCCTGAGCAACAGAGTGAGTCCCATCTCTACATAAGGTTTTGAAAAATTAGCCAGGTATGGTGGCACATGCCTGTAGTCCCAGCTTCTTGAGGGGTGCGAGGTGCAAGGATCACTTGGGCCCAAAAGTTCAAGGCTGTAGTAAGCTATGATCATGCCACTGTATTCCAGTCTGAGCGAAGGAGCGAGACCCTATCTCAGACAACAGAAGTGACTGAGATGGGAGGCAGCCCCTGCCTGCACAGAAGAAAGCGGGAGGGTGGGCACGTGAGGCTGGGGCTCGGCAGCAAACACAGCATTTGGCCTGCACCCCAGCAGCCTTTGCTCGTGACACTTCGATGCCACTTTCTGCCTTTACCTAAATTTGTTAATATATTTGTTAAAATATCTGTGTTATAAAAATGATTTTGTTGAGAATGAAATAATAAAAGGTACTTTTAAGGTAGGAAGAAATCCTTGAGAGGCATTTTCTGTTAACGTTTTGTTATATTTTCATCCTGCCTGTTTCTGTACAGTTTGTACATACGTAGCAAGAAGGGGAAAGAGTGGCATTTAGAACTGTCACTGCAGCTGCTGCAACCTTTTAAGAGAATGGCAACATTTATCTTTAGAGAAGTTGATTTCCTTTTATCTGGGAAATGCCTTGAATGGGCTTTTTTTTTTTATCCAGGAGAAATGTAAGCATTCACCTCTACCTTGCTTCCCACGTGGTCTTAAAGGAGAAAGTGAAACAGAAAGAGGGCTAAGTGAAAAGGAGTTTGGGAAATTGCTCGTTGATAACCTCAAGCAGGGGTAAGTCCCGGCATCTATGGGGGAGGGGCCAGATGTGGGAAGAGAAGGCTTGGCCCAGGGCCACAGACAATGGGAAATTTCCCTGGTAACAAATGTTTTAATTATCATAACAAACCGCCCCCGAAGTTGGTAGCATTAGGCAAAATTTATTTCTTATGTCTCTGCAGGTTTACAGGGAGGTCCTAAATTGGGGTCTCTTGCAGAGCTGTCTGGCATTGTCTGAAAGCTCCAAAATGAATTATTCACTTACACGCCTGGTGCCTCACCTGGCTTGGCAGGATTTCCTCTCTTCTCTCCCCTCTTCTCTCCTCTCCCCCGCTCCTCTCCCTTTTCTCAGGGCAGTATAGATGCATTCGTTCCAAAAGAGCAAGGTGGAAACTGCAAGGCTTATTTGATCTGGCCTTGGAAGTCATGCAGCACCATCTCTTCTGTCACATTCAGGTGGTTACGAGGGGCTTGCCTAGAGTCAGCATAGGTGGGAGCTACACAAGGGCACGTGATATATCCATGAGGGACTATTTTTCAAGACCATTACCACAGGAAACAGCTGACAAGTTCCTAGGAGCAGTGAAGTAAATTAGATTCACATCAGAGAGTGAATCTGAAGACCTTCACACCTCCCTAGTAGTGATAATCCTTTACTACTCTCAAACTAAGTGAAATTCTAAAATTCACAGTAACGTGTTAGTGAAGCTTTGGGAGGAAAAAAGAAAAAGGTGGGTGGCATCATTCATGAGAGTATGGGAAGAGATTTCACAGCCACGAGCATCAGGGGCCACAGCCAGGAGAGGGCGCGACAGTGGAAAGGCAGGCTGTGGCACGGACTGACTCAGGAGAATCAGAAATCAGGTAGACCCCTGGAATCTTCACAGCACGGCAAGGTGGACTCCCCACAGTATAGTACATGGGGATGCAAACAATTCTGTTTGGGTATTTACAGAAGGAAGAATCAAATATTTGGAGGTATCTGGGCATGCACAGTTCATATTACATCATACACACATACACCCCTCAGCTTATTTTACATTGATTTTGGATCCTAACAAATCTTTGTAAACATTTTAAATGACTGTATTGCAGTCAAACTTATGAAGTCACTGAAATTAATATTCTCTTAATGCTGAACTTTCCCCCCCCCATTTATTTATTTTATTGCATTTTAGGTTTTGGGGTACATGTGAAGAACATGCCAAATTGTTGCATAGGTACACACGTGGCAGTGTGATTTGCTGCCTTCCTCCCCATCACCTACATCTGGCATCTCTCCCCTTGCTATCTCTCCCCAGCTCCCCACCCACCACCGTCCCTCCCCTATTTCCCCACAACTGACCCCAGTGTGTAGTGCTCCCCTCCCTGTGTCCATGTGTTCTCATTGTTCAACACCCGCCTATGAGTGAGAACATGCGGTGTTTGATCTTCTGCTCTTCTGTCAGTTTGCTGAGAATGATGGTTTCCAGGTAACACTGCAGGCTGGGCATGGTGGCTCACACCTGAAATCCCAGCACACTGGGAGGCCGAGGCGGGTGGATCACCTGAGGTCGGGAGTTCAAGACCAGCGTGGCCAACATGGTGAAACCCCCATCTCTACCAAAAATACAAAAATTAGCTGGGCATATTGGTGACCACCTATAATCCCAGCTACTCGAGAGGCTGCGGAAGAAGAATCACTTGAACCCGGGAGGTGGAGGTTGAAGTGAGCCAAGATCGCACCATTGCACTCCAGCCTGGGCAACAGAGCAAGACTCTGTCTCAAAAAAAAAAAAAAAGTAACACTGCAATGAACATTTCTGATCAATTTCTTAGGAATGATATCTAGCAGAATTTCTGAGTCAAAGAGTACTGGAAAGGCAAACCGCCAAATTGCCTTCCAGAAACATCTAACCCCTATTTCCATAGTCACATGTACTGAGGACACACCTCATTTTAAAATGGCCATGCAGCAAGCTCTTGATGTCACCAAAGACCCCGTGTTCTACTGAGGCCTGGCGGCAGAACCTTGTCATACAAGGAACCTACTGCTAGGCCAGCACCTGCCCACTAGAGTCAGCACTGCCTTGGGCTTAAGCCACTGCTGTCCACTGGTGTCTTTCACTGTGGTTTGTTCCTGGGACTCCCCCAAGACATCTGGTGGCCACAACATTCCTCTAATCGTTTGGAGACTGCAGCCTGGCACCTGAAAGTTCCTCTAAGCCCTGAGTCAAGAGTAATCCCCCTCTGGAAGTTTTACAATTCCACTGAGGAAAGGAGTTCCTCTTGAGGTGCTCCAAACTAACTCAGGGGCACCCTAACACAGAGCAGTGGGTTTGAGCCTGGAATATTCTAGTCCTGGCTTCACAATGACCGTGGGTAAGTTAATGGCCCCAATGAACCTTGGTGCCCTCATAGAAAATAACAGAGTTCCCAAGCCTTTTCTTGGCAAAGATCCCTTCTACTTCCCTTCTCCCTCCTCAGTGAACCTATGACTCTGCACTTCACTAAATTACAGCTTAGTTTCTCCATTAATCAGACAAAATTAGCCCACAATCAAGCTTTTTTTTTTTTTTTGGAGTAAGTTGATCGTGGCCTGTCAGGTGATTAAATTCTGGGGCATTAGAAACATTTTCCTTGGCTTGGACAACCTTATCTTAGGTCAATATATAGATTTCACTTAGCTTTTGGAATATTGAAAACTGTGCATAAACCCCTTTAACCCTTTCATCGTCACAGAGAAGCCTGGAATCAGAGGAAAGATGATTTCTGAGGTCTTTCCCAGCTCCAATCTATGACTACTTCTGCCTGTCTTGACCACAGGACTTAAAAACTATCCACATGCAGGTTTTATGCCTCTCTCACTCGCCCTAAATACAGGATGATGATGCTCATCTTTGCTGGACCTTTCTTTTTTCTTAAGAGGCCCAGGAGATGACTTGGGTATAAATTCTGTCAAGGGACTGCCCAGTCAACCCCATTTGCCCGTTGGCTTCCATCTCCTATCAGTACAACCATATCAACATAAGCCACCTATTTTGATGGACTTCTTGAAGGTCTGCTCCCATATTAACCACAAATCAGGGAGCTGATGGAGTGTGAAGTGCCAATGAGTCTTCAGCTCACAAAAAATCCAGAGGAGTTGGTTTAATTAGTATATGGGAGATTGGTTCCTAATGGAATACAAAATATAAGAACCCCATATACTCCCCCTTCTTCCGCTTCAAAGCTTGCCTCCTTCCTATCTCTCTTTCCCTTTATCTTGCAACAAGGGACTACTAGACCCTAAGGAAACGGACTTTGTCCCCAGCTCATGCTCAGGAATACTCTTTATTATAAATAGCTCCACTCTGGCTACTCTGCAGCCGGAGAGTTGATGGGAACATGTTAATGTCATTACCATTTAGGATAGAGCTAAGGAAAGATGAAGCAGGGTGAAAGGGCAACCCTCTCAGGGAAGGGTGAAAAGCCCAAAGCAGCAATACCAAGTGAGTCAGAAAAAAGTCTTAACTACTTGAGCCTGCCTCAGGACCGCAGACCCCTGAGCTCCCTCTCTCTTTGAAACACAGAGTGTGGCAGATTATGGTACTATTGCACTCAACTTTCACATCCCATTCTGCGGAACAATACATCCCTGCACACTGCAACATCACTTGCAGTTACTTAGTCACTTCCTACAACAGACGGATACTTCCCTACCTTGGTGACACTGGGCTTGGCAAGGGATTCATCTCAGCCAGTGGATGTATTAATATATGCCACTGTGCTTCCACCAGCTTTTCTATTCCTTCTGTAAGAACAGCATGTTCCAGATAGGGGCTGCCCATTAGCCTGGATCCTGGAATGAAAGAGACACATGGAGCAGGGGTGCAGCCAAACACTGCCATGCAATGTGAGTGAAAACATGGCTGCCATCAGGTTCTGAGATTTGGGCATTACTGTAGCATTTGTGACCCTCAGCAGAGCTAACTAATGTGCTAAAAGTCACAAACTAAACACCTGCAGACAAGGAAAGCAAATGAGGCAGGGGGTGTGTGAAACTATGGGGATGGCAGGACTAAGGCAGATGCCATAGAATCAGCCCAAGGGTAAGCCCCAGTAGTAAACACTGTTATATGAGTTAACATTTTTAAAACTGCTGATTTGGTTAAACACCAGGTCATGATTTTAAAAACACGGCTAATATTTACTTCCCAGAAGCTTATTAAGAAATATAAAGTTAAAAACAAAAAAATATATAACTACTCAATCTCTTAATGTTTTCCTAATCATTTAACTTTTTAGGTTCTTTAAGGCACCAATCTCCAGTTCAGAAGAAACAATCTTTCGAAACTTGGCAATTATTCATATTTTACTTGTTTGGGTTTTTTTTTTTCTGGTCTTTTCTAAAAGTGAAATTATTTTTTATGTTAAAAGTTCTCTCTAGAAATGTTTTGAGTTAGCTTCCCAAACATTGATATACAGAAATGTTGCACTTAGCAATGGGGATATCTTCTGAGAAATATGTCAGGTGATTTTGTAGTTGTACAAACATTACAGAATATACTGACACAAACCTAAATGGTAGAGCCTATTGTTTCTAGGCTACAAATGTCTACAGCATGTTACTGTACTGAATACTTACTGTTGGAAACTGTCACACAATGGTATTTGTGTATCTAAAATAGACTGACACACAGTAAAAAAAACAACAACAACAACAAACAGTATAAAAGCTAAAAAATCGTACACCTGTATAGGGAGGGCACTCATCAGGAATAGAGTGTGCAGGGGTGGAACTGCTCTGTGTGAGTCACTGAGTGAGTGGCGGGTGAATGGAAAGGCCTTGGACATGACTGTACACTGCTGTAGACTTCACAAACACTGCACACTTAAAGTGGGCCACACTAAATCCATTTAAAAAATTTCTTTCTTCAATAATTAACCTTAGCTCACCATAGCTTTTTTACTTTACAAACTTAAACTTTGACTCTTCTGTAATAACAATTAGCTTAAATTTAAAACACAAACATGTAAACTGTACAAAAATATTTTCTTTATATCCTTATTCTATAAGCTTTTTTCTACTTTTAAATTTTAATTTTTAACTTTTTAAACTTTGTTAAAAACTAAGACACAAATACACACATTAGCCTAGCCCCACAGGATCAGGATCATCAGTTTCACTGTCTTCTATTGCCACATCTTGTCCCACTGGATGGTCTTCAGGAGAAATGGCATGAATGGAGCTGTCACCTATGACAGCAGTGCTTTCTTCTGGAATAACTCCTGAAGGACCAGCCCACAGCTGTATTAGAGTTAACCATTTTTTTTTTCCAATAAGTAGGAAGACAACACTCTAAAATAATGATAAAAAGTAAATACACAAACCAGTGTCATTTATTATCAAGTATTACATACTGTACATAACCAAATGTGCTGTATTTTTACACAACTGGCAATGCAGTAGGCTTGTTTATGCCAGCATCACCACAGACATGAGTAATGCACTGGGCTATGACATTACGACGGCTATAACACCATGAGGCAACAGATTTTCTGCTCCATTATAATTTTATGGGACCACTATTGTATATGTCATTATGCAGTACATGACTGTAATCTTCTGCAAAACCAGTCAAATCTAATCATGTCACAAAAATAACTACCACCATCTGTCTTAAAGAAAGTGATTCCTATATGGATGGAGATTAACAAGGGCATAGATTGATTCCACAGAATATTTCATTTAATTGATTTTATAACTGGATTAGGTCAGAGCCCTGGGAAACAGAAATAGCCTTGTTATAGAGAACCACACATTATAGTTTTAACTGAAGTTCTTTTTCATGAAAGACAATTATAAATATCTGAGTATTACAAGAGCTGACTACATACTTTCAAGTTTATATTTCCTGACAAAGGATATGATCTTTTTCCATCCTGTAATTCAGAGAAAAAAGAACCACCTGCCCTACATAAACTCAAAGAAAACTGCGTAATCCCAGGAATAGGGGGCAAGGACTGCTCCTCTTGGACCTACTATTAGCAAGTCCAACAAAAAATATATATATCACCACTTCTATGAAGAAATGCCCTTCTATAAAAGCATGAGATTAAATCAGATATGACTTTACACATTAGGGCTTTTGATGAGAAATTAATAACAGCGGCAGCTTCTTATTTATTCACAAACTGACTGTTAAAGAGAAAAAACACAGGGCAGATTAATAATGTAACTTAGATCTTCAATCTTCTCTTTCCAACTCAAATGCTGGAATATGACACTCTTTTTATAATATTCCGCCCATGAGGTTCTCTCCCTTCTTTTCTGCCTTCAGAGTTCTTTCCAATAGAAAATTACTACCTGCATTATACATTTCCAGGTGGAAAAATGAGAAAGATTAAGTGACTTCTAAAAATACTAGGGACTATATTTTTAAAAACAAGACAATAATTCAGATTTTCTTGCTTTAATTCTTCTCTATATTACCACAGTAAAATATTTAACAAAGGCCAAGAGATTACTGATATGCAATAATGACCTACAACTTTACATTAATGGAGCTATCAATAATAAACTGATCATTTAAGTAACTGGAACATGTTCAAATGTAAAGAATGATTCACTATCCTATTTATATTGTCCTGAAATCGTCAAAACATTTAAAACACAAAGTTTGAATATTAAATAACTCTGAAATACTGCAACATCTTGAAGTACCTTCTAAATGACCAAAAATAGGTAAGATTTTGTTCAGTACAACTTCAGTGAAGAAGTTTTTTGACACAGAAATACGTATATTGTTAAACTGGTAATCCACATAAGATACACACAAAACTTTCAAGTGTCTAGATTGTTCAATAAATAAAACTCCACATTGTTTTGTTTTTATAGCCTAGTGACCTTATAATTCAGTGACACCCTTTTAAGAAATTCTAGTCTATCGAATGACATGTTCAAATTGTTTGGTCCTATTAATTTCTTTAGGAAAAAACCTCCAATTCCTTTAAGATATTTAATTCCTCCAAATATCATCTTTAAAGGGCCTGACTAATAAATCACAAGTGTAACCCTCATCTCTAGTCTATGGGTTCTTCATGAGTTTCAGTTCAGTGTAAGCCAGCACACCGATCTCTCCATGAATTTTCCACAGTATCGACTTTAACACTTTCCACAAAGTACCCTGTCATTCTAGGCTTTTTGTAGAACGTGAAGTTAATAATGGCATGTGGTGTTCCTTAGCATGACCTGCCAAAAAGTGATGATCTCCTTGGAAGAAAAGCCGTGGGCTGCAATCACACGTCTGAGTTGACAGACATCCAAATGGATTCTATATAGAAAGAAAAGATTTGTGTCTTCTGGAATATGAATGTTTACTTCTAATAAATTCAAACAGATCCCGACATAAACATCTTCAAACTTGATGGGTTTTACGTGACCCATCATTTCATAGATCCTTGGCACCAAATCTCTGGACATTATATAACCCAACCCACTGCAGTATGGAGGGAACACCTTAAAAGGATACTCCTGGTATGAAATATGGGTTTTTTGGTAAAATCCTCTATAGGAATAATTATCAATTAGAGGATAACCTGTGAAAAACTTCTCTGAGTGGTTTAAGTTTAAAAGATACTTCACTAAATTGCCAGTATTGATGAAAACATCCGTGTCTGTCTTCATGACATACTTGGCATTGGGGCAAAACTCAGTTACCCACCTGAATGCCATAATGGTTTTCAAGGTCAGGTTATTATATGTGTCTAAAAAATCTTGTCGGATTATGTCGCCATAAAGAAGGTGTTCATCCTCTAAAGACAATGCCAACGTTTTGTCTTCCTTTTCAGCCTCTTGGCCTAATAAGAAAAATGTAAGAACTTCATATCCCCACCAGGACTTTTTTTCACCCCAAGTAACTCTAATGGCCTGCCTGGCTTTCACATCTGAGGGGTGGGAGGTCACCAGAATGACCAGAAATGGATTTTGATGAGAGCAGTTTGAATGCTCTCGAAGTGTGAAGCGAAAGTCTTGTCTGTATATCGGCTCGTACTCATAGAAGTACATCCAGTTCACGCGTTCTATCACATTATAGTGGGGAAGGCTGAGGTACCACACCACGAGGAAACTCAGGAGTGACAGCAGCAGGAGGCTCCATTTGAGGGATCTCAGTGACATCCTACTCGGAAGGACAGTCAAGAGAGCTGGGGCCATTCACAGCAGCTCAGAAGCAGCAAGCCAAAGGTTCTGGAAGAGTTATCATAGACTGGGTTAATAATCCACACACAGAGCACATTGTCAAAAGATATCTGACTATCTACTCAAGGAGAAAGAGTAGGAGAACAAAATCTCAGTAAAACAAAAATCCTGACTTGAATCTACTTCATTTAACTATAAGCAAATAGATGCCAATAACCAAAAATGTATTTTAGTTTCTTACATCAAGACCAAGGTTAAAACATATCTTTTGATTATTTTGGAGTAGAGTTATCCTACTCTACATAAATAACTATTTACCATGAAATAAATTATATCCTAGGTGCCTGGAGGACAGAAAGAGATGGATAATGGTGGGTTAAAAAATAAGTCTACCATAAAAACAAATAAAATGTATCTCCTCTTTATAACTATAAAAAAGAAGGATTTAATTGGGGATATTACTATACTATGTATATACTACACTGCACTATACTACACCACACCACACCACACCATACTAATTGTGGATATTACTACGGGGATTGAAGGGGCTATTACTAGCCACATGCCCAAATAAATGAAGGGTCTTTCTCAGCTGTGTGTTCTCATATGGATTCTAGCAAATCTGGATAAGAAAAATCCTGTAGTGATCATTATTCTATTCTTAGTGACTGCTGCTGTAAGGTAGAGATTCTTCACCTGAAAGGTGAGTCCTCCAGACACAAATAGGATAATCTCTCTTGAGTTTTCAAACACTAACTATGAAATAACTTTTACTTGCCCAAACACCATTTCTTCCCTCTTTTTACCTCATTGGTTAAACTCAATGCTCAGTCCAGATAACAACTGTTTAAATCAAAGGCCTGTCCTTAGTACTGAGTTTTCACATTTCCCATTCCAACTTCTTCAGAAATTGCACACCCAATCAGAATCATGGAATGGAAACCTCTAGAACACTTGCTTTTACACAGAAGCTCCAGCTGAGACAAATGGAGGCACAGAACATTCAGACTGTGGAGTGATAGCAAGGCCTCAGCTCTGCTCCAGAGCTCAAGGCAGAGGGTGGTTTACAATTCGGGATCCCACAGGGTTTTCCTTGCACCATGAGCATAGACTTCAGTCTAAGGGCATTCATGTATGTGTGTTTACTGGACATCTTCTACTTCCAAAGACCAGGCGCTAAGGAGACCAAAGGAAACAGGAGACAAGAGACACAGAAGAAATCCCAAGGCAGCGTGTAAACATGGCTCCACAGTACAGTACACATTGTTTACATCTAATGCTAAGGAACTTTAGCATAAGGGACAGATCAACAGCACAAGGAAGGGTGGAGGAGGCTGCTGGCAGGTGCCCTTTCACCCACAATTACATGGGGGAGGGTTCTTGGGAAGCTGAAATTCACTATGAAGGATGGACACTGTGAAGGCTGGTCTACCAAGGGTTCTACCCTGGGTCTACTTTAGGGTCTTTGGACATACAGCTCTTCTGTCTCTTACTACATATGAAAGTAACAGGATTTTAAGGCTCCTTGTCCTCTTCATCTGGTCATCTCTTACCTGCCCTGATTACAATGATCTTTTCTATATGTAATGCTTTCTGTATTTTAACCCACACAATGCAATTTAATGTTTCAGCAAACTCTCTCCCATTCAGTTCCATGTCTATGTGTCTTGCCTCTCAACTTACATTCTATGACTTGCTGACAAAGACAATTTTTCTCTCAGGAATCAAAGTGCAAGACACTTTGGAGTGCAATGGACACTGACGCTTTCATATGCTATCTCCATTTGTAAATGAATAAAATACAGATTTGTCCATCCACCTCCTATCCTCTCATATCCTCTTTACTAGCCATACACCGCCAATCCTCCACCCCCCCAAAAAAAAAAAACCTGAAATTGAATAGTTTGAGAGCAAGAATTAGGAAAGTAATTAATACTGCCTTTATATGTTTTCTCCTCACCTGGCTACTGGGCACTGCACAACCCTTGAGGGCACCATTTACAACTTGTACATTTATTACAACAAATGTCTCATTCTAAGAAATCAGCATATTTTAACAGATTTTGGAAAAACAGAAGGAAAGTGTTGTAAGGGGTGCCATTTATAACTGCATATGGATGATGGAGGCTCTACTACTCTTCAACAATGGGAAAAACTTAAGATGGCAAATCTTATTATAAAAGTTATTTTTTACACATTCTATAAGCCATGGTTTCTAAATGTGAGAATGGTTATGATGTCCATCACTTATGGACCCATGAATAAAATAAAGCAGCAGTAAAAAGAGGAGAAACTATTTAGTCTGAAAGTGAGGAAAACGGACTCTAAAGAACTAGCCAGAACAGACTTTAGGTCACCTACAACACAGGTGGCTCCAAAGCCAGATACCGAAGTCCATGCTTCAGCTCTGTCCTTTACCAACCAGGATGAATGAGTATGTTATGCATCTCTTGAAGCCTCAGTTTCCTGTCTCTATATTGAAGATATTAATAGAGTGCAAATCAGTGATAATATATGCAAAGGCCTATGTTAGGTATTCAACAAATAGAAGCTGTTACCATCAGCTGTGGCTCTACCCTTGGCGTCATTTCCAACCTATTTGTAGTCTCTAAAATGATTCCTACTGTCAAAATAGATTATTCTGAAAAAATAATCTTTACTACTTGAAGAAAAGTATATTTGAAAGCCATAAATATATTTCTACTTCTAACCTTCTTCTTGATTTTCTTCTTCTGAGTAAGAAGACCTTCAGTTTCACCAATGGAACATTCAGGAGGATGCAGCTGTGAGAAATACTGCTAGAAGAGAAATGTTTGAGGTTATATGCCGATTACCCTGATTTGATCATTCATTACACATTGTATATATGTATCAAAATCACACATGCCCCCAAAATACATACAACTATTATATACCAATTTTTAAAAATTAAGGTAAAAATAATGCTTAGAAATTCCACAAGAGCTATAAGAGGCGGGGCGCGGTGGCTCACGCCTGTAATCCTAGCACTTTGGGAGGCTGAGGAGGGCAGATCACAAGGTCAGGAGTTCGAGACCAGCCTGACCAACATGGTAAAACCCCGTCTCTACTAAAAATACAAAAAAATTAGCTGGGTCTGGTGGCCCACACCTGTAATCCCAGCTACCCAGGAGGCTAAGGGAGGAGAATCACTTGAACCCAGGAGGCAGAGGTTGCAGTGAGCTGAGATCGCACCACTGCATTCCAGCCTGGGTGACAGAGCAAGACTCTGT